TATAAAGTAAACCACCTAGACGTTATTCTTACCGCAAACTATAGAACTTGCCGACAAAAAACGTTTGGTTTACGTTCTGGTATACGCACTTTAATTCAAAGCATCAGTTAGTGGAACTAAACCATTGGTTATTTAGTGCTATGGATTAATCTGCATGCTCAAGATAAGGAATGTTTAAGCAGAAGATTTATACAACGGGATCTCATATGGTTGCTCTTATTTCTGAAATTATTAATTTATTGTTAATATTTTTGCTATACATTAACTAGACTTCCAATTTTATTGCATTTATAATTTAGAAAATGATTTTTTTTTCATCCAATAAAAAAGTTATAGTCGATAATTTCCCAAAGCTTCTTTGAATTATAAAACCATAAAATAGTCATTATTGTAGAAAAGAAAACAAATATTGGTGAGTATTACGGTATTGGTCGGTAAAAAAATTTGAGGTGCAAATAAAACAACTTACTTTCCACTTTCGATGCTTGGGGAAATACAATAGAAATTTAGTAGATTCTTCTTCAGATTTATATCCCGACGAGAAATATTTCATAAATAAAAAAAGTTCGGAATAATGTTTGGCCCAAATGTTGCGATCTCAAATTACGATAAAATTTTCTTCATAAGAAATTCCACCTGGTTCACATATTCAGTATTGTAGTAGGTGCACGAGTATACAAACAGCCTCGTAAAAGCTGTATATGCATAACAACAGAGCTATAGAACGGAATCACTATTCGTCCTGTGAATGTGGAATTATAAAAACTCTTGCGTGTGTGTGTGAATATCACTTTAAAAAGTAAACGGGTTATCTTTTCTGGTACAATACGTTCCATCTCTTTGATCGTAGAAAATGTTTTACTTTCCAAATTTTATTGTTCAGATAAGAAACAGATATAATGGATGCTAACCTTTCAATGGTATTGCTATGTACATATTATTTTTTTACAGACAAAAAAATATTGTGAGATCTTACATAATAAGGAATGACAAAAACGGTAGTTCCCACAAAATGAGAAATGTTGATAAAATAGTCCTTTTAACGTTTGTTAAATTGAATATAACTTTATTTATCAATACAAAAGCTTAAAAATTCTAAAACCTAAAAAACTTTTGAAAGGAGTTTGTATTCTTTCCTTTCTTTCAGTGTATCTACTTCTCGAGTCTGCCTCTAAATTTCGAATGAGACATTTACATGCATACTCGCGCTCGAATGAGTTTGTCGCATATAAATATATTAAAGCCGGTCACAAGTAGACAACCTACCGACCTAACCAATTCTGGGTCAATGAAATTCAACAAACATGAGGCTGCGTTGGCACGTACGCACGTTCGGTTCGTCTTTTGTGACGCAGTGAGGACCGACGGTTATCCTCTTCATTAGCTCTGCTTGGTATAAGCATAAACTACTGCCTAATATAATCTTTGCCCACCCGAGAACAAAACGGCTTTAACTTTGAAGATCTGCTAAAAATGAACCTACATTAAGCTCTGCTGGAGCTCATTTAAAAGATCTTCTTCAGCCCTTTTAAATAATAAATGTTAAAATTATGCTAAGATATTTTTTTTTGTGTACAGAGAGGCAAAAATCAAAACAAAATTTACAATATTTTTGTCGAATCTTTAACTGTTCTTTAACTTGTTTTTATTTGGAAAAAAAATAGTAGAAAAATTTAAAAAAATAAACATTTTATAGCTCTTTTCTTATATTATGCAGAACATCTATTCAAAAATATTTTTGATTTAAATTCAACTATTATATGAGCGTTTCCTTCAGGAATAGTGTCTATATTCATTGCTCTTGATCTCGAAAAATTCAAATTGTAGAAAAAAGATTACTTGAAAGAAAATGCTTTATGTTGTAAAAAAAATACCCCAAAAAATTTCATAATCGTATGAAATTTTTTTTTTCAGCCATAATATCAAGTAGCCTAATTTTTTCAATATTTCATTTTTCTTCAATTTGGAAGAATAAAAAAGATCACATATACTTGGAGCTATTCTTTTTATTATTGACAACATTTTATTGTATGCATATTAATTACATTCTCTATTACCGAAAAATCTAATTTAGTGTAACAAATATTAAGTGTGGATAAAATAGGCAATTTTGTTGACTGGTTCTTTATATTTGTTACACTAAATCAGATTTTTCGTTGATCAACGTTATTGTATGCATAGAATAAATCTTGTCTATAATAGCAAGAATAGCTCGAAGCATATATGATTTTTCTTTCTTCTACCAATGTGAGGAAAAATGAAATATTGAATAACAATTAGGATATGTGATATTATGATTGATAAAGAAATGCTTTCTATGATTATGATAATATTTTTGTTTGTTTTTATAATTTTGTAATTTGAAAAGATTTTTTAAATGAGCTCCCATAGAGCTTTATAAGTTAATTTTCCAGTCAAGATATGAAGCTTCAAATTTACATTCGTTTTGTTCTCGGGTGAGAAAAGATTATTCGACGAAAGTATACGTAATGTCGACTCTGCGTTTTGTTTGATTAATGGATCGACGATGACGAAGTTTATTTTCGACTTTTTTTGTGTTATTCAGCTAATGAACAATGAAATAATGGCAATCCATCATAGTTGTTTAATTTACTATGCACGTGGATAAATTACTCTTCAAATAAGTAGGACTGCTTAACTGTATGAGAAAATTTAAATCATCTATAAGAAAAAATATTGTTCTATCGCCAGAAACAGGTACATTATTGACGGACGATCTGTGAATTCATTATATAAACAATTCAATGATAAGGTGGCAATTATACTTAATTGACGAGAGACTAAAAACATGGTTGAAATCAATACCGTATGTTCCTGCGGGAACAATGATTCTGCGCAAATTACATTCTGCAGTTTACAGTATTAAAGCAGCTGTATCCTATTCACGGCATTGCGGAACATAGAATTAAATGAGTTCAAGAATTTAATCAAAGTACGGGCTTATTTTGTAAGTATAGTAAGATTACTTAGCGCATCATTAAGAATAATGAATACTTTGCTGGTTTTTGTACATGTTAAATATTTGCTTTTAATAATTTATCAAAATAAAAATTTATAATAAAAATTCTGTCGGATAAAGATCTGATATTTTTGTTTTTCATATTCTTGAATTTTGTTATTTTATTTAAAAAAGAAAATCAGTCTGCTCGGTTCGTTTTAAAAATTTCTTGGTATTACTACGTGTCTTCCTTCGATACAACTTTCGCCAGTTCTTTCAAACATGTTAAAGCCCCGTTGTGAGTAAATACAACTATACTGACTAGGTCATTTCACATGTTTTAAATTAGATCAACGCTACTAAATACTTCATGAATATTTGATAAGAGTTAGAGATTTCATATTCTAATTTGTAGCCGAATATAAATAACGGGAAACGTGTTTTAAATATAATTACCCGTAATTACGACAAACATCATTACATTCATCTGCACAAAAACCAAATTAATTTTGATATAGCACAAATAAAAATATAATACTTTAGAATATTTCAAGCCATATGATAATACAAGCCGTTTATGTTTATTTACAAATCTTTCCAATATAAAACTGTATATCACGGTTTATTCAATAAAAAATATTTTTGTTCGGCGTAAATGTCTCAAGACGTCCAAGCGTATAATCGAGAAAATGATTTCGCGGTTCAACTGACATCTGCGAAATGCCACGTGCCCTGACTCGGCTCAATCGGGCTAATCGTTGATGCTTAAAATAGACGATTATAGTGTAAAATTGTGATTTTCTGAAACCACTGAACTCTAACCACAGTATTGTTTGTTGAGAAGGTTCATCGTTTCAAATGATCTGAACTCTTTACAAATTCAACTGCAGATCAATTTTATGCTTGAAGTATATATGTACAACGTCTCTAATTTGGTTATAAATCAACTTTGTTACTGAATCAAAGAATACCAGTTACATCTTAAAATCTTTACGACAATGCCATATGGCATCGGTTACACGTCGTTTACTATGACATATTTTATATTTGCAATGAGGACAGCCATATACGATATCCAAATCATTCCTATAGTCAGATTCATCAACTTCAATCCTGCAAAGATAAAAAATATATAATCTCGTTTGATAAATTATCCTGTAATCACTTTCACTGAAATGCACCGATAGCCTGACCCGTATAACACCCGTGAAGGCGCGCGTCAATCCTAACGGGAATTTCGATTAGGAGAGGTTGACAAATCTATTTGCCAATCGAATTACCATCACCAGTGTCACTCTCGTTGCTTCGCTCCCATAGTATTTGACGATGAACGTGAATTTCAAGTCGTGCAGAACGTGCTCGGCAACCTGCAGCAAATACCGCAGAAAAAAAGAAAAGAAGATTTACACAGAATAAGAAGAGGAAAGGAACAGCAACGAGAGAAAGAGAGAAGAAGGAAAGACGATGATAACGACCTTCTATGGGTGTCCAGCCGTGAGGAGTAGGAGGGCTACTGACACACTTGGGGACTCGCGCGCCGGTTGTGTACCACGCGCCTTCGTTCCGTTCAACTTTTCAGTTCTCGCTTGGAGATCGCACAAGTCGCTCGCGCACGTCTTTCTCTTTAACTCATCCTTCCTGCGATCATGAGCTTCGCCTGCTCTGTCACGTGATAGTAACCTGCCGAGAATTTTGGACCAATCCATAAGCCACGTGACTGGATGTGCTTCGGTATCTTCCCATGGATGACCAAGCGACTTCCAATGAAGAACTGGATTTAGGATAGAATTTTGTTCTTGTGACCTAGTTATTTCAGTGGCATATAAAAACGTGTAAAGCGATTTGGAATATTGATTGCCGAGTCGTATAACAGTAAATAGGTATATAGCCAAAATTACATCTGAAACAGAGCTTAATTTACAAGAGTTGATCAGTTGAATATAGCTTTACGTGAATTCAATTACTGGTGATATATCAAAGATTATCGTGTGATGGAATTTATATTTACATTAAAGATTGTATATGGATATTATAGATAAAAATGTATAAAAGTGCAGTTTATTTGGTAATTGTTTCAATCGCTATTGTCAATGGAGATATTCTTGATAGGTTACAAAACTACACGAAAATATTTGGCTTTTCGTCAAACGATATCAACAATGAATTGTGGACAGGTATTATTAGAGATTGTAGCAAAAAGGTGACGTTTTCGTGTATTCAAAAGAACGCGTATAGCTACCTCGACCGAACATTCATCGATAGCAAAAACATAACAGTGTTCGAAGGTTTGAGTCTGACTCGAAATAATTTGGATTATGAGAATTGCAAGAAAGACGATCCAAAAGATAACGTCGTTGAAGATGCAAATGGCAGTGATGACGAGAGATCCAAGATCGATCTCGATGATAATGAACTTGAGAGTGAAAAACTCCAAGAAGAAGAAAAAGAGCAAGAGGAATATCTATCACCGTTGGAAGAAATAACATATGCATTGAGAAAAAAAACAATCAAATTTTTAGCAACTAGAGACTACAAAATTCAATTACCAAAAATAATTGGGGATGGTGCTAGTTTGAAAATCAGTCCACGTGAGATCGATGCCAATGGAGCTTTGATTAGGATCGATTTTGATAGTCAGGCGCTTGAGGAACAGCCGCATGCTCGATTTTTCCTGAAAAAACTTAGTGAGTCAATTTTATTTTATATGCCGTTATAATGAAGTCACGTGATTTGCTCTCTGGACACGATACATTTGCTCTTGACCCACTGGCACTGACACTACATTGAGTTTATGAAGTATCTCAATTAAAATATGTTTATGTTTGCTCACGCATTTGCGACTTATAGACACATATTAGGCGAATTTATAATTTTTGTCGCACTTATTTATTTACTGACTTTTTTCATTTAATTACATCAATTAAAAATTTTATTTTATTAAACGATACTCATGTATACTACATTTCATTATATTCCTGAAAATTGATGTTTTTATTAAATATAAGAAACAGTTATCCGAGTGACATTTCGTTTGAAAATTGTGATTACCTTCAAAAATAATTTGCGTAGTTTTCATCAGATGTCATTGCATGCATTTATTTCGATGTCAATAATATTTGTATCATTATTTTCTGAATTTTTTTTATTAACATATTAATTAAGTCTTGATTAATGAACGATGACCATACCATAATTAGAATATATATGTATGTAACTTACAGAAAAGAAATTGGCAGATAAACTGATAATGACAGTAGTACTGATAGTTCTACTCATCAAAATACTGAAGATAAAGTTTATGTTCGTTATTCCATTTCTATTTGGCATTGGCACAGCAAAGAAGTTATTCCTTAAATTGTTGCTCTTCTTTGTACCGGCTTTCGCACACGTATTCAAATTATGCTCGAGTTACTATTCTTCTCATGCTACGAAGTATCATCATCACCACCATAAGGTAAAGGTAATAACGAAATAATGGAGATCTCAACTTTTCACTCACTTCCAATTCTCTATGCGTAATTCTCGGAACTCGTGCTCGAAGTTCGCACAGAATGTATACTGCAGAATATACAGTTGTTACAGTAGTAAATGTGCGGATAACGAGTGATTAAAATAAGCGAGCTACGGGAAGAATGGGAGTTGTATTATCATTCAAGATAGACCGTTAAGCATGTTTTAAACATGATTGGCTGAGAAGATAGATACATATACAATTTTATAGCAATAACATTTATTTTAGTTTGTATGTATATGCGTACGCGCGTATATGTGCTTCTTGCACCTCAATTAGATACACTTACGAATTATTCTATTGAGACACAATTATTAAAACTTCACTATCATAGAAAATGATGTAAAAAAAAGTTTTTAAATGTAATTTTTTTATTTATCTTAAGAAAAAAATTAACGACTCTTTCAGTCTTAATTTGCTTCAATTAACGTTAAAGGTTAAAGACAGGCCGATACGCTTTCTACAACGGCAAGCAAACGTAAAGAGCTGTATTTTCGTACCTTCATTTCAATGTTCCCAATTCCTTATTGTAAATCAATATGATAATTGTATTCAATGAATTTGGATTTCATAAGCTAATATAGTAATTAGAAATGATAATTAATTTTAAAAAAAATAGTCAATATTGTGAATTCAAATTTATGTATTTCTCACGTGATACATAGTAAAAGAAATTATTTTAGTAGAACATGCTGAATATCATTTGATATCATATAATGAAAATAGAAAATAACAAAGTTTACATACTATGAAAATTAACTTAATTTTTTTGAATCTTATGTTGTAATGATTTTCTTTACAATATTGTTTGTAAAAAATATTTATATTTAGATAATTATCTAAAATGCAAATATATTTACAGATCGCGCATCATCATCATCATATTCCAGTGCCAGTACCAGTTTACTCATCGAAACCATCTTCGTCGCCAATCTACCTTGATCATCCCCCACCATCATCGTCGTCAGGAATTTATTTCGATCATCCACCATCATCTCATTCATCAAGTGGTCCTATTATCTTAGACGAAGATTTCCAAGGCTATGATTATGCACACCCACACATTCAATATCGCAAAGATATTGAAGAATTGAAAGAATGGGGTATCGAACCATACGAAGATTCCTACGATCAAATAGCACCGCAAGCTGGAGTTATTTATCCAGGACCATCGTCATCGTCTGATCTACCATCAAAATCAAATCCTAAATTTCCAGGACCATTTGGTATTCCACCTCCATTCGCGGTAAATTCAAGGCCATCGAATTTTGCAGGACCGAAATTCCCGCCACCGTCACATCCTCAAAATTTAGCTTACTCGGGATATAGGCCACCAATGCCGCCACCACCGATTAATAAACAATCTCCACCACCACCTCCGTCGAGTGTATCATTGCCCGCTGGAATGGTGAGCATCTCCGACTTTAGACTATCGAAATCACCTGTGACGCCGACAACGAATCAGCCTAATTACAATAGTTATATACCGCAATCACAACTGTCCCAAAAATCGAATCAACCTACTCAGCAGAGGTACGATCTTCAACAACAGAACTCCGATCCAATAGCTGCAGGTAATTTACAATCATGTTTCAAGATTGAATAAAATTTTCATCGTCGTCTGTGATAAATTTTTGATTACTAATTTACTATCTTAACTATTAAATATTTATGAAGAAAAAGCAAATGAGTTTGAATGAATATACGTATAGAGTTTAACGCTTGTAATCAATAGCCGTGAGACAAGATTCCAATTCGTAAAGTGTGCTAATTTATGGAATTTTTTCGGTGAAAGGTAGATTTCTTAAAACAACTTTATAGAGTATAGATCAAAATTCATAATAACTGTAAATGAAGTTATTTGTATTGTATATGATAGTGGAAACCAAAAGTTTATATTAAAATAAATCTAGATAATTTTGAATACATTTTAAAAATAAATAATCCATAGTATCAATCGATGTTACCGTCAACATAACAAATATAGAAAAACAAAACAACGATCAATAACGTTAGTGTATATTTATTTTTTGCTTAATTATAAGTAAATACGTATAAAATATATTCATATTTATAAAAGTACTAACTAAAGATTTATTTTTTAAAAGCACCAGCAGTATTGCCGCCAGCAAAACAACCATACGACGATGAATTCTACGGTCCAATAGTGAAGAAGCTAGACGAGATCTTCGGTCAACTTCGTTTCCTCGAAGAGAGCTGTCGCGAGAGGCTTGTCTGCAGCATGTACAAGAATCCAGCGCTCTATTCGCCTCACAGCAACCTCGTCTCGAACGAGTTATCTAGGTATAGCATACATCACATTGCGTGTTGTCTATACGCACTAATTGCACTCCTTTGTAACAATCCATTTAAACTTGCGTGCCCACGCTTACGCGAGTAGAGGAAAATATTCCAAGTGCCATTAACCGAGAATTTATTACGTTTTTAATCTGGAGAGATTGTGGATAGATGTGTGCTTTTAGAAAATCGAATGAATAGGTGTTAGACTTTTTTTATAATTCGATTAAACGTATTCAATAACATATGAGGTGCTTTCTTTATCTACACAAGTTTTGAAATGTTGAAATTTCATTGAGATTATTCTATAAAATATCGATCCCAAAGAATTCTCAATAGACTGTTACAAAAGAATGTCATTTTCTTATAAGTAAAAGTTCAATTTCTCATTGATAAATGTCTCGCGATAAAATAAACAACTTAATTTATTGTTAATTATTATCATGACACAAATGATCTAAATCACTAATGAAAAACTTTGTAGGTTTATAAAATCAACTCTTTAATCGCAGTAATAATTCACAATAAACAGAATAGTGATGTATAAATCTTGAAAAAATTAACAATCGAAAGTAATTACTACAATTAAAAGATTAATTAATTGTTACGATTAAGACCTCAAAACTTGTTGACCTCATAACCGAATATCCTGTCTTTTCGCTTTGCCCATCGATCGAAGTAGCATAAACATAAATGCGCTTCATAAACCGCGCCCGAAGATTCTGGATATCTGGATCAAAGAACGATCTCTCACTGGGGACGACGGAGAAAGGCGTACGCAAGTGCCCAATCAGGTCAACGTCTTGCGTTCGCGGGTCCTCTTACTTTTTTTCGTTGCATTATCCTGCGCACTAGGGTCGATATATAGCATGCACGTCAGTTCCGGGTTTTTCTCCGGATACTTCAAGCGAAAGACTTACTCCTATTGTAAACGCTTCAAATATTTTTTTGAAATAGATCTTGATGCTCGGCGAAAGCGTGACACGATGATTGAGGAATTCAGTAAGAAATTGATTGACTATAAAATTTTCATGATTCAGTGATGAAACATAGGTTTTATTTCATTAAATATGTCAAGAGGAAAAACCTCCTTTCAGCTAATATAACTAATTGATTGTTTTAAAAAATATTTTGTTTCTCATAAAAAAGATAATGTGTGTGCGTGCGTGCGTACGTGGATTATACATGTTGTTTGGTATACACACACACACAAGTAAGGATATATAATCCTGAATAAGAATTTTTATATAAAATTTATTTAAAAACAAATAATTAAAATAAATTTAATTTGATCATGTAAATAAATTTCATTTTAGAATTTCCGGGTAATTAGATCACAGTTGTGAACTGTCTAGACTGTAATTTAGATTGTCACTATTCTTCTAAAACAGTCACTTAAGTATCTTTAGTTCTCATAATTATACGCCGCAAGAGTTTGAATGTAGGACTTCCGGAATGTTCCATTGTTGAGAACTAAAATCTTCTTCGCTTTTTAATTTCTTTTTTCGTTTTGTCATAGTTTAGAATTGTGACTCAAACGTAAAATGTTATTATAATCGGACAAACTAAATGCCATAAAATTATACATGATATTATATTTTGAAATATTTCACTCTGATATAACGATATTAAAATTTTTTTTTATTACAGGGATCCTCAGGAATTGCAGCAAGGAAATGCTGCATCTTCTTCCAGTCAACGGTTCAACCGATACCTCAATGCCGCTCGAATAGGTCAAGATGGTGGAGACTGTCTACGAACTTATCCGTGTGGCATCAACACTGAATAGTTGAATTGCATATATCGACAAATTCAAATAAAAGAAAAAAAATTATTTTTTTACAAATGAAATAAAACAAAAGTGACACTTGAATGTTTAAGGTTCGTTCGATATTTCTCGACCGTGTGAATTAGTTACTAATTTATTTATTTCATGCATGTGCTGTTTCTCGAGAGATTAATTGATGACGAATCTTAAACTTGTAGTAACATTGTTTGTTAAGATATGCTTCAACCAAACTGATAACAGCAATTTTAACTACATAGAAAATCAAACTGTTAGCAATTATATAAGCATATAGTGAGTGCTTACAATATTATCATGTCTCAACTTTTTGAATTACTTATTTATTAAAATAATTTATTTTTCGTTTCAAATTTTATAAATTGTCCCAACGAGTATATCGTTTTGTAATTGATCAAAAGTTCAGTGAAAAATTCATTCAATGATCAGAAATATTGTATCTATCTTAAGTTATTTTTACATACTAAATAGTCTAGTGTAGTATATTTACTTTTTTCGTTAAATTAACGAATGGAGATAAGAAGTAATTTTACTATAAAATAAGATAATTTGTTATTAAACTTCTGGGTGCCATCCCCTGTTGATATTGAACTATTTTAGAATAATCGTATTCACAATGTGAAGGATAAGGGTGAAAATGATAGAATGTCAAAATCAACTATTATGATTTTGAAAATAAACATTATTCTGTAGAGTGTCTTATTTGTTGTTGATATAATACCGTGTGTGCTGTTACTTAGTGTGAAATAAAATAATTAAAAATAATTTCAAGTTTTATAATTCGCACAACTTGATATACCTCCTGTTACACAATTACTATCATCGATCCGTGATCACTTACAAGTTTCTAAATATCAAAAAGTTATTTAAGCCATGGTTGAACTATATACAGAACTATAATTTATAATTTCTTTACACTAGGAAGAAGGTGTAGCATATTTTTTTATGAAGAAAACTATAAATATCTAAACTTTTTCTTAATAAACACGCATACATACACACACGCGCACGTACAACAGATCTCGACTGATTTTATATTTTCAAGATTTTTGCTCTCAATAAATTGATTAAAACTAAAAAATTCATTTTACATACTTAATGCAAAATATTCGAAATTCGTTAAAGTAATCAAAGCTTTTAAAATAATATTCATATAAAATAGACAATAGAAGTAGATGCATATATCAAATGATGGATAAACTAGTAGTATTAGCACGTCTAATATTGACAAACTGAGAAGGTAAAAGTCAGAAATTCTATGCAATGATCTATTAGACATACAGTGATCAGTGCAAGGTTTCCCATGAGACCGATGATTAGTCTTATATATACTATTCTAAATATATCGAACATTTCTGCAGATTCTATCTTACATTTTGGATCACTTCCTTCTTTGATCTGTGTAATACTATTTTACTCAATATAAATAAAATATAAATTTCAGTTTTCGGTCGTCATCAAAAAATGTATAATTTCGAAATTCTTATTTGCTTTTGCGTTGGATACAATAAATTTTTCTTTTTTGTTGTATCAAGTTTCTACATCTAGAACGTCATAATAAGGATGGCAAATAATGATTGTATAAGGAGGAACCAGTGATACTTCTGTTTGAATAATTATAACAACAATAATAGCCAATGAGATAAAATTGAAATAAAAACTTTTATAATTTGTAAATGATAACGTAATTAAAAAAAACGAATAGTTAAAATATGAATACTAACTTACGAAATTATAACTAAATCTTCAATAGTTAAATAATTAAAATACCTACGTTACCATACAGACCATACTTCATACATACAGCTTACCGATCGTTTTCCCAGTTGATAAAAGTATAAAGTAAGTGGTAACTACAGGTTAACTGTAGGTAAAGTAAAATGTTGATTATCTAAGTAAAATAATATATTAAAACAATCATTTTACCATTAGGAATTTAAAAGGGAAGATTTATAAATGTTGAAATTTTTAACTAAAATAACTTGTGTAAAGATATTTTTAACTAATGAAATTTTCAAATTTTACGTATATCACTAAATTTAAGGAAGCTGATAACGACTATATAAAAAAATCAAGAGCTCATTGAGTTCACCTTATCAAGATATCGATATTACATATCAAAACAATAATGAATATAAATTAAATCATATTTTATCTTGTAAAAAGATTTCAAGACAATTGTACGATTTTCGACGTTGATTAAATAAGGCACATCAATGCGGCTCTTCAATAAAAGATTATATTATTAATTAATAAAGAAATTATGATACTTGACAATGATAAAATATAATTAAGCATCATTTATTGATATTTGTACAATCCATGTGACTGTCAATAAATAAGCTCGATTGTGGTCCTTAAAAAATACCTGTAAAAATATGAAGAATCATTATTTATTATAATGAAAAGTACTATATTTACTGCATCAACGTCATAGTAAAAGATAATATAATTCACTGGACCACTAATCAAAATCAGTACACCCGATAGTGATAAACTGAAAAGATAGAAATTCGTAATTGTATACATAGATTTAGTACATAAAATGACTGCACTCGCATTGGCATTTCCTATAATTTCAGTGATTATTGTCAGAATATTTGTAATAACTATGAATGTATCCAATCTGGTTAATCTATCGCCACTTGATATTTCAATTTAGTTTCCAGTTTAGTTGAATACAAAAACGTTAAAATTTTACTCCCATCAACAATGAACCACGTAAAAATAATATTATGAAATATATATGAAGCATTCTTTCTGAACATTAATCCCTCCATTTTTCTTATTACTTAAATCATTTTTTTAAATGAATAAAATTTATTAAAATTTAAGCTTTCTGATGCCGGGTCGCATATTGACCGTAAAGATCATTTTCAACGCCATTTCAAGGTCAACTTTTTTTTTAACTGACAACCTCCATTTTTATCAAGGATTCAAAATCTTCGGAAAATTCTATGTTCAGATAATGCATCGTATGTAGGATCCGTTTGATTCCCTAATGTCGTTTAAAGTCAATCAACTTCTTTATTTTTTCACCCAGCTAAGCCAACTATAGCAAGATTTAGCAAATATTGTTTTGGTCACACGCATAATTTACAAATTCAAAAAACATAAATAATAGAAATTTTTCAGAGAAATGATATTAAAAAAACAGCAGCGTAACTAGTCATTTTTGTTTTATAATAAACTTATCCTCAATTATACAACGATATGTATTACTACGAACACAATATCCACATGTTAACAATATATTATGCTCTATTTAATAATATATCATGTGTTCGAAGCACTAACGCAAAAAATAATTATAATTCATAATAAATTTCTTTTGATAGGAAACATTTCAAATATAAACATTTTTTAAGTATCAAATTAATAATAAATTAATTACAGTTAATTAACTACAGTTAGATTAACAGTTATATTAACTAAATTAATTACAGTTATATTATGAAAGATTTTGTCGGCATATTTATTCATCTCGTTTACTTCATAGATTGATATAGGAAAAGAATTTATTTCAACTCACCGTCGAAAGTCACTTATGGCTTTATTGAGTCGACAATTATTATGGATAAAATAGGAAATACTAATAAAATTGATAATTTTAAAATTTGACTAATTTTATGAAAATTATCGTGGCTTTTACTTTTTATTTCGCTTTCAATTAACTGTGGTTTTTAAGAAGTCGATAAGAACTATATCAAATGTTACTCTAATTATGCTAAACAAATTTACAATAAAGCTCCTTATTAGTTACATGGAAATTTTATTGTATCAAATGTCAAGCATTTAATTTAAGAAACAAAAAACAACCGATTTAAACATTACCAAAGCCGTATACATTATGACACTGGCTATCTAAATATCACAGAATCTCTGATTTTTTTACAGACATAAAAATCAGTTCTTTCCTAGAATTTCGATCACGTACCAGTACTAGAAAGAATTTCGCTCATCAAGAACCATCAGATCTTACAACGAATCAATATGTAAAAAACCCTACAAACTAAGCATAACTATCTCTCCCAATTATTGTCCTATAACACTCAATCAAAATTCATCTCAAAGTCAATGCTTTCAAAAGAAAATAAAAAGAAATTTAACTACCAGTCAACAGTAGCGAAAATGGTGTTACCATTGCCGATCGAAAATGAAAACCAATTCCGTTGGTCGGTAGCAGGTATACCCTAGTTACAAATATATGCTTTCTTCTCTCTGCTTTCGTCACGCGTCGTAAGTTCATTCGAATGCAATGGACGTTTGTCACCGGCGAAGCTCCCATCGCTAGCTATAAAGCGGCCCGGTCCTACGACTTCAACGGCATTCGGTGCTTGGCCTCGCGAATCAGTCGATCGTTCAGTGCTTTCAACAATCATGAGGATCTTCGTTGTTTCCGTTCTTGTGCTGGCTGTTGCCAATGCATCGCTTGCTACTGCGGATGGTGTCCAGACTACTGCTGAAACACTTAGAAATATTTATTACAGGTGACGTTATTTCTATTATTTTGACAACCGTAGTGTTGAAAAACAAAAATACTAATAACAAACTAAAATTTTGTAGATGTATTAATGATGAATCGATGCTATCGTGTGCCAAGCCAAAACTTCTCAAGTACCTGAGCGATGCAGTCCAGTTAGAAAAATTACCAATCACCGAAGATTTGTCACTTGTTAAATCACGTAGCATTCCCGAAGACAATGATTTCGATGAGTTCCTTGCCTCTCAAGACTCTGTCGATCCCAAGAGGCGAGAACAATTACGTTCACTCATGTTGGAAAAGCTCGACACTTACTTGGCCAGTCATACGATCGAAGCCAAATTGCCTGAGGCTATCATTGGCTCAAACATCGTACCAAGGTCATTGATTGAAACTGTGCCAAAAAGCATCAGCATCCCACTCAGTGACGCACCCAATGGAAATGGTACGTTCACAAATTTAGAAAAAAAACTTACGCAACAATGTATTAAACTCTGATTAATATTGCAGGACGAGGCTTCGTGAAGAAAGTCATGATTCCTTTCCTCCTGGGTCTCAAATTTAAAGCAACCGCTCTAGTACCTCTTGCTCTTGCGCTCATTGCTTTAAAAACGTGGAAAGCCATGACTTTGGGTTTACTCTCGCTTGTGCTCAGCGGTGCTATGCTTATCTTCAAGCTTACCAAACCTAAGGTCGCTTACGAGGTGGTACACTTCGGTCATCCACCCGTTGAACACCCACCTCATTGGGATTCTGCACCTCACGGACCTTACAGAGCATATAGGAAGTGAAAAAATTGACAAACGTGTGACAAATGTTGTATTTATTTAATTATTTATTTCGTGAAAATCTGTTATTTGTAATTGGCTAATAAATTAATAGACGAAATTGTTTTATACATAAAATCTTGCTTATATTTTTGTTTACCTTTTGATTCCTGAAGAACAAATGTAATTAAATAACCTAGATCAGTAGTCAAACTGCATGGTATTGACAGAGTAGTTTAGTTAACAGTAAAAGTAACCCTATGAGTAATCGCATTATACGGAATCAGTTACGTCTTCGGATGACGGATTTTTGAGAAAGTAAAATTTTATTATTGTGCTTGATTTTCAAATGTTGCTTGTAATCCTGGCAACTTTATTTTGAATAGAAACAGAAAGTTAAGTTATTTGGAAATAAAAGTAGATATGAGTTTAGCTACACGGATAATAAAAATGAGACCAATGACAGATTCAAAAGAAAGAACAATTTGTAATAGCATGCAGAATGCCGAGAGTGACCCATGAAAAAAATCAGTCCCTCCTCTTCGGGTATCCTGGATACATATGCAAACTGCGACCCAAAAGCCCAAATGACATCCCTATTACAAATGTACAATAGATCGTGTACTCGAACGAAATAGAATATTTGGAGTGACAACGATACGGGTGAAAACGTGCGTAAGTTCGCGGCATGCATGACAATTGAAGGAATCTTCCTGTTCGTTTTCGATTCCTGTAAGATCTTAACTTGTCGATATCTTCGGGGAACGTGATTAACCTAGTGAAGCTGTTAATAGGTCGTCGAAAGGAAAGGAAAGTTGCATGAAATGCGTATTGCGAATCGATGAGTTATAGAATGCTATTGTTACACCGAATACGTAGCCGTGTAAACATGTCAATCTATTTAGAGATGGAATAGAGAATGTTATACTAAATAGATTTTATTTCCAATAACTAGGACTTTACACTTCTTTCCTTATAAATCCTATAACGGTTCTGACGATTTTCCCGCTTATTTATTTAATTATTCACCAATTTGAGAAATATTGAGAAAGTTAATATATCTTTAACCGAAAATTAAGAGAAATCAAAATAAACTAAATTATGTACAAATAAAAAAGTCATGATAAATTGCAGAATTATGTAATAGTTAATAAAATGCGATACGTGCTGTGACAGTAATAATGTTACAGGTTTTTAAGGTTCTAAAACCGAGCGCTTAATTATTTTTATTATACTAGATCTTATTAAGTTATCATTATCTAAAATACAATGTGCTTGAGTAAAGGTAGAACTTGCAATATATTAACAATAGTAAAAATAGAAACCATAGATGGTAAGCCAATGAAGTCCAAAGAAGCAATAAATTGAAAATATGACGTCCGAAATTATATTATAGAAATATAAAAAGGTATATGAAACGTATTAATGTTGAAAACTAGTAGAATATTGAATATTCTTATAAATGTAAAAAGAAGGAAAATCAACGTTGATCTCTATAGATATAAAACTTAAATTTATGTGGGTGACGAAATCATGAAATATATATACATGTGAACGTTTGATAATTTTATATGTAATAACGTTAACTTTCAAGATTTCGATCGTACAGGACTAAATTTGGTTTCGGTAACATTCTTCTTGAAGGAGACAGACTAAGGGTTCACATTCGTTTGGCGTACAAGTAAGTTGACTGCAGCGTACTAAAGAGTTGACTAATTAGAGCACTCATAGTATTTTAATACGGAAGTAGGTTGGCTACGTTGAAAAATGTCTTATTATTTCTTTAGCTCTTTAAAACGGCCTCCGCGTCTGTCTCGTTGAGCGACTTAAATATCTACGCATCCGATGTGAAAGTAATTTACGGTTCATATTCATATTTGAATTGCATTGCAACGTGCTCGTTATCAAAATTAATTCATTTCTGACTCTGACATTAGCAATGTTTCTAATTTTTTACGTTCATTTTCAGAAGCAATTCATAAATGTTCTATTAATGTTTTGAGAGTGACACGTGCTGTTATACTTGTAGCTTTATAAAAGTTATGTTCTGATACAAGTCTTTCGTTGTTGATCAAGAATACAATAAAGGCATGTATAAAATTTCCTTAAATTGAAGCATAAAACACACAAATACTTAAACTGTTGAAATGTATTACAAGAATAGAAATGTTTAAAGTTCATTATTACTTATGGGGACTGATTCTTTTGCTGCATAACTGCGTAATGATTTTTGTCACGTTAGTGCTAAATTCAGATTATAATAAATTTATGAATGTAAAAAATGTAAATATTTTAGCCGCAGTTTACATATGTAGCAGGGAAATGGATATATTTACAAATTTTAATAATTTATTCATAAAAAATACTTATTACAAATAACATTTTTATACTCAAGTCAATAACTTGGAAAAAAAATCTTGCTAAGTTTAGTTTTTCGAAAGGATAAAAAGTTAGTAGATACTGTACCATTAGCCATAGGCAGTATCTGTAAAACCACTTTCGATTTTAAGTTTGATATGTACTGCAATGTAGTAATTGATTTAAAAACTAACTATTGAAGAAAAATTGTGAAAATTATATAACTGATTATAATTCATTCCATATAAAAATGAAGTAAAAAAGCTAAATTCGAATAAAGCTTGAACGAGGCGTATCATAAACTTTATCGATGTATTTATTTATGATGTCATTGTTATATGTGTTACGACGATAAGCTCAGATATAAATTATAATCTACGAATTAAATAATTGAGGCCTGCAAGATTTGAAGATTAATATGAAAAACTACAAATACTAAAATTATTGATCGAAAATCCATTTGTCCTTATTCAAAATTAAAAATACATCACTATCGATGAGTTATCAGAGCAAAAACAGCAACTTTTTTCATAGAAAAGCATTAGTTGTCAAATACACTCAATCTCGTTACTCCAAATACAGTCATGTATACAGAACTATTCGGGGTTAAATAAACAAGGCAGAGATTAGATTAGATTAATTTTATTGCGATCTCAGGATTTTACCCTGTATGATCATATTGCAAAAAGTAGTGATTATCAGGGCGGCGGTAGCAGAGAGAGAGAGAGAGAGAGAGAGAGAGAGAGACCAGAGTCACCTAAAAAAAGAGTCTATCGTCGCAAAGTGCTTTTCCTCTTTTCGCAAGTGTCCGGGAGCCCAATGCTTTGCAGCCGAGACACGTCCACGCGGCGAGTCCTCAATATAATCGAACTACATACACTCTCTCGGTATGTCTAGAGAAGGCGAGTGTGTCTTGCGGCTGAACGAAAAGAAAATTCGTGCAGCGGTACAATGTATAAGGTAACGAAAGGTGGGAGTATAAATAGCCAAGTGCCCAACCCAATCGGCATCAGTCAGCGCACTGCAACTGTCGCGTCTTCACATACCAAAGATTTCAGACGAGAGAAACAAGGAATAATGATTTCGATGACAAGAATTTTTGTACTTTGCTTGGTCGTCGCAGTGGCAAGTGCGCAACCAGCAAAAAACGAATTCTGGAAGGGCACAAGCATGGACGCGATGGTCGAGCAAACGAAACTTGAGTGCGCTCAGAAAAACGATGAGGTTTCCTGCATGAAGTTCAAGATCCTCAATCTGCTCGATCAACTTTTCCGCAAGGACAACTTCAAGGTAATCTTGTATTTTTTTAAAACAAATTTAGCACTTCAGAATATTTTTAACGTGATTATCGATTGAAGTTATTATTTAAGATTTTTCGAAGAATTTGCAATTACTTCTTTATAAAATGTTATCACTGAGTATTTGCCTTGTATTAGAATTCACTAATTATCGTCATTTTACAGGTTTCAGAGACAGTCGAAGTGACCCGCAACTCGTACCCCGTCGACGAGCTGAACGGTCGCAGTTTGTCCGGCGACGGTTCCTTCTTGGAGACTGTTCGCAGTTACTTGGCTTCGCACGACATCACCTTTAAACTGCCTTTCGAGTCTTCTGTGAAGGTTTCATCCCGCAACATTGACAACGAGGAATTGAACTTTGCAGTGAAATTCGGCGAAGGTCGTGCTGTCGAAGCTCGCAAATCCAAGTTGAAGAAAGTCATCATCCCCATCCTCGTATTCGTCCTTCTCAAGGCAATGACTCTCATCCCTCTGGCTATCGGTGTACTTGGCCTGAAAGCATGGAATGCACTGCAACTGTCGTTCTTCAGTTTCGTCGTCTCCGTTGGTTTGGCCATATTCCAGCTTTGCAAGAAGATTGCCGCTGACAGTCATTCTGCTCCTATTGCTGCACACGGACCATGGGAATATCAAGCTGCTCAATACAGATCGTTCCAAGAGGCTCCCGAGGTTGTTGAACAACCTGCCGCGCAAAATCTCGCCTACTCGGCTTACGCTTAAGCTTGGAAAACGCATAATTATATACGGTTTATAATTTTGGCGGACTCGTTTATTCTTGTGACGAGAATACCTGACTCTTTTGTAAGATACTTCTTTTCCTCTTCGTGTGTGCTATCTCTCTATACGTTTGTACACTATTTAATAAATTATTTACTGCAAATTCATAAATAATTTACTTCTTTTATTTATTTTATTATTTATATTGAATACTGCAATCGTTTAAACATTTTTTTCACATTCACATTCAATTTTAATATAATTTTCACTTAAAGTTATTATTCAAATATAAAACATCAATTTAAAAAAAAATTCAACAATAGAAATTAAAGTTATTTAGATTAGATATTTTGTATTGTTCATATGTTAAAATTTGCTGTAAAAACATTCATTATAAATTAATATAGAGGTTTCATTTTTCAACAAATTGATCAGAAAATATAAAATAATATGGTTACCATCGCATGTTACACATGATGTGAGTTCTAGAAGCTACAGAACTAATAACAAATAATACAATAAAATAAATTAATTATTTGTAATGTGTATTCACACAAAATTATATGACAAATACTGTCAATAATGACTAATTATATTTTTTACAAACCAAAAGGATATGAGGAATATATGGGATTCCAAACGATTGGATTTATAAAACCTTATCTTTAAATATATTTCAATTAATACATGTCTAAGTTTAAGTATTTAAATTTGTTCTTTACCAATTCATTTGTACATTTACGAAATTTAGAAAAACTAGTTTCGTTTTTTTTTTCAAATCAAGAATTGATTTACAATAAAAATGTAGAGATTTTTCACTATAATTAATAATTTGTTCAGAATTAATTGAACTTTTTGTTACCAAAACTGTGATTTGAAAATTTGCTTGATTTCTGTCGAAGAAATTTATTCATATTACAAAATATCAAACATCAAAAAATTTAAAATAATACACGTAAGAGAGTAGTGTATCCTATGGCTCACTTACTAATAAAATCCCTCTTACTAAAAGATTTTAAATGTTAAGCATATTTTATGGCAATTTAACGTACCATAATTTCCATGCTTTCGTAAAGAACTTAGAAAATTTCACTCGATCAATACGTTTAATACTATCTAACTTGTCTAATATTATTTTTTCTCTATTTCTGTTAGTGATCAGACAGCTAAGACATTAAAAATTGTTAATAAAAGTAATTGAATTTTATTGATTACAATTCAGATCAACAGTATCGATATAATACTTAAGTAAAATATGTCCCATTTAGTTTGTCACGTTTATGATTCGCAGTGAAATTTTGTAAGCATACCATCAGGCGAGAGTCAGACAAGTATGTGTCCTGCAAAGGCTCGCTCGACGCTTCTCCCGTTGGCATAACTAGCATACAGAAGAGTTTGGTAGTACCGTCAACTAGCGGCAAATATTAGCCACCTTCAGACTAATTTTTTATAAAGTCAATACCATGATTTCAAAATCTTATTTTATATTCAATCAACGATTTTTTAATTAATTAGAACCCATTCTAAATCATCAATAAATATTTTTTAAATCACTATTGTTTTGGAAGATTTAATTTAATTTGAAGTAGTTGAAAATTTATTAGAATGGTTTTTAATTATATAAGCATTATAATTGTGATATATTTCAGTACTCTGCAAAACAAACAAAATAAAATATAAAACTAATAAGTCCAATACGTTGGCCTCCTATTTTAAAATGTTTATTATATTGCTAGCTTCATTCATGACTATAGATTATCTTTCTTATTTTAATGTAGTTTCCAATGAAAAACCGAATTTATTTGATTCTTTCAATTTTTAATATGTTCAATATGCAAAAAGTAAAAAACATTAGCTCTTTAATGTATTAAAAATTTTTAAACTCATTTTATAAAAATATTAAATATTTTTTCAAACGTAAGCTGAAAATGTCTTATATGTATGTGTATTAATTTTATCCTTGTAGTTTTTCAAGACTTATTTTCTAATTGTAAAAATATATCCTACAAACGATAGGAAATATTTTTTCCAGAAAAACAAAACCATTAATTTAGTATAAAAAGGTATAGAATTATCGCTTTTACACTATTTTATAGTATCACGTAACAGTTCATCACCTTACTATCTTTCAGTATATTTTCAGTGATTTTACACTAGACGTTATCTTAACTAAGAATTATTGAGCTTTTATTATTTTCAATCGTGGTCATATAAAATTAATTATCGAAATAAAAGAAAAAGTGACTGTAACGTTTTACTCTTTATTTATTAGGACATTTCAGAAATCACCTTATAAGTTACACTTAAATTGTAAGTGTAATTGAAGTAGCATTTAGCTTATTTAAGCGATAGAGAACAATTTTACAAGAATATCTTCCAAATAGTAAACATATAAAAATAGATTAAATAACACGTACATATAACTTTAAATAGTAAAAAAAATTGAATAGGATCTGTGAAGTGGATTTTATGTTCTGAAATTCGAACTAATAGAACATTCATTATTAGACAGTAATAAATTCGACACTTCACTAAATGCTTTTATTAGGTACACCGGTCTTATTAAACAATCATATCAACACTGGAGTATATCAAGATCGAGTTAATAGATCATAAAAAAAAATATTATTTGTAATTAACGATATACTTTTACAATTACTCGCCTAGAAAATAATACTCACATGATAAAATCGTAAAACTCACGAATGTAAACAAAAAAGCAATGAAAGTAATTTGGAGTCACGCAGTGACCTTATCACTTTCCTTGATCTAGTCGTCTTATCCTCTCATTCCTCTGAAAAAAAGAGAATCTGACAAAGTGAAGCCGGTTTATTCGTGATCTGATTGACTGAAAGATAGTAACGTGATCAACTGTTATGTGATAGTATATATGTGTAGTATGCGATCATGAAAGTTTACTGTAGATTTTCGCAAATAATTAAACGTTTGAAAAGTGTATCATTATAGTTTTCATTTATTTAATATAATTTAATTGATTTAATCATACTGACCTCAAAATAAAAACCGATTGATACTTCGATAGAACAATTAATTCAACTATGCTCTATGTAAAAATTTAGTTTTAAATAAACAGAATAGGAAATAAAAGATATAAACCTATAGATATTAGCATGATCAAATATTTTACAGTAATTTCAATTTAATTCAGTTAAAAAAATATTAGAAAATTTTTTTGGAAATGCACTAATTACAATTTGAACGTTTATTAAAATATGTTATTTACATCTTGAAGGATATGATTATAGAAACTAGTATTTCTAGAACACATATGACATGTTCAATCGTTTTTTTTAAGCTTTTTGACGATTTTTTCAAGACAAAACTTCGAATAATAAAAACTTAAAATTTCATTGATAAAATTTTATAATCCTTAGTATCAAGGTAACTGCATATTTATTTAACAATAAATAATATCGTCGACTATATGGTAAATTATGGAAATTGTTAATGTACACTGAATTTTCGAATTTTTAATATGGCAAATTTGGATTTGATCTATATTTGTGGATTAAAATGGATGCGAAAAAGGCACTAATAATATTAAAATAATTAACGCGCTGCTTTTGTTTTGAAACCAGTGTTCGAGTATAAAACGCGGCAACCGGGAAAGTGTCATAGCTCTCGCTCTCCGCAGAATATAGCTGACGCCCGAAAATAAAGGAAAAAAGACTAATGGCACATGCACGGGTACACACATAAACACGCGCAATGAAATAGTCGCACGCGGCGGCGGCGGCGGCACGTTGAGCCGCAACGTCCATACAAAACGATCCAGAGCCAGCAGCAGCAGTAGTTCCGTTTCCCGCGTTGGCGCGAGTGAAATTTAAATAACGATTTTTCTTTGGATCGTCGATTCACGGCATGCGCGGCCGAATAACATAGATTCTTGCTTCGTTTTTTCGTGGCGGTGAGGGACGAATTAAATAAAAGGGGCTAGCCGCTCCTCCGCTCAGTCGCAGTTCGATCGCCAGTGTCGAAGGAGAAAGATGCGTACGATCGCGGTTATCGGTATCCTCGGCCTATTGGCCACAGTGTCCCAAGCAAGAAGCCATGACTTCTTAACGAGATCCCTTAACGAGTGTATTGGTGCGGACTCGTGGTTGGATTGCCTGAAGCATGAAGTATTGGGCTATCTCGACGACAAGCTTGGAACGACTACTGCAGCAAGATCGCTCGATACCCTTGACGAAGCTATTGTAGCGCGCACGTTCAAGTACTTCAAGAGCTTCGAGTATGGAGTCGATCTGCCGTTCGTCGACGCTCAGCTTAAATACCGGCCGGCAAGGAGCTTGGCTGACTTGGATGTTGAGTTTAAAGACAACGAAATTGCCACACATCAAGCTAGAGGTATCCTCAAGAAGAAGCTACTGTTGCCGGTATTGTTACTGCTGAAACTGAAGCTGAAGGCGCTCATGCCGATTTTCGTTGCCATTATCGGTCTGAAGGCTATGAAAGCTCTGGTGCTATCTAAGCTGGCAATTATCCTTGTCGTTGGATTTATTGCGTTCCAATTCTTAAAGAAAGGCGGCATGACTCCACCCATGGGTATGTACTCTCTCATTATTGAATTTTGTTAACAGCTTTCCACAGTAGATTTTCGATTTTAGCAGTATTAATGATTTGAGTGATATTGAAGTAATATAGCCATTCAAAGTCATTCAAAACTTACGAAAATAAATTTCGCAGGCATGACAATGGATCCAGTGCCGCAGTACGGTGCCCCACCAGTATCGTCAACAACGTCAGGTTACGAGCCACCAAACACGTGGGACGGCAATGGTCCTTACTCTCGTGTATGGACGCCCAGCAGTGGTATCGAATCGCAAAATCTCGCCTACAGTTACTACTCTCCGAGCAGTAGCTCAAGCTCGTACGGCTCACCTTCAAGCTCATCCTCGTCATCATCGTCGTCCGGCTCATCTTCAGTTTCTATCACTGGCAGTTCGAGCACTTCTACAAATTATTAGATAAATAAAATTCATGTTCGAATAGATGGCTTTGCCTTTTGTCTTTTTGTGCTCACTAAAAGGCAATAGCAAGTTACCATTTGAATACGAAGACTCTTTTTATCTCACACGCTGTATAAAGTTCTTGATTAATCGGTAGAAAGGAAAATAATGACTTTCTTATGCCGATCGACATTTAGTAACTAACTTAAAGAATTCAGTGATTGTCGTTTTAGTTATTTTGGGTTAATTGAGATAATTAGAACGATGTCACGATATCGAAGTCTCTCTTTTTCTTTTTCTTTCTACAAGCACGAACGAGTCTTCTTTTAAGAACAATTATTTATTGTTAAAACTTAGCATTGTTTACGTTCGGATATTGTTGCTGTAAATTATGCATAGTAATTGACAATAATTTCTATTGTGTAAATTTTTTAAGATCGGTAATATGTTGTTATCGATTAGATTTATCCAAAGAAATATACACCAAATAATTAATGTCGATTTAAACAGAAATAACCATATGCAAACTCAAGGTATGCTTTCGACGATGAATATTTACCAGTATAATAATGAAACTTGGCATCCATATGAAATAAAAAAAGAAATGCATTTATTTATTACTTGATTGCAACTATTTATAATATTTTTTATGCAATTTGTTAATAAAACTTTTTTATGCTAATATTATGTATCATATTATTTATGTTTTAATGTATCAATTTAAATTATTTATTGCAATACTGGTATTTTTATGTATGTACTTTTATAAGATTCATGATATTCATTTTTTAAAGATATAAATGAGAAACAATATAATTAGATAATTAGATACTCGTGTTATGAGTTAATTAATTTATACTAAAAGTTTAGAAAACTGAATTTAATTAATTTTATTTATAATTACGATAATATAATAGGCCATATTAAGTGTTCATAGTAATGTTATTATGACAAATAATTCTTACTGCGATACAGATTATGAATGTATATGGTACAAGCATGTGACACACAGTATATAAATGTACATCTGTATATGTATATACATACACATACATGTTCGGTGGTTTGAATTCCACCTTAAACTGGAGCTCCAGTTATGATGCGTATAAAACTTTTTTCTTCTACACCATTTTCAAAAAACGGTGGGGAGGTGGGTATACATACTCATGACTATAGGGAACCAAGACTAATGCGCACAGGCACCTACTGTATCTCTGCAACGTTCCACGTGGACGTAGTTCTTAAAGTCAATAACAATAACAATATATGAATATTTATATTGTTACCAAAATGTATTAACAATAACCGTTAAATTCTTATTCAATCAAACACATAATTTCTTTAATTATATTATAACTTATGCAGATATACAAAGAATTTAATTCGTTATGTATAATAATTTGTTTTCGACTGTACCTTTCTTAAAAGTACTTTCTACAAAAATGTACTTATTATATGTAAAATTTACAAGTGGTATTTTGAATTTTTATATATTTTGCGGAGAAATATTTTTTCTCTATATTTACACATTCTATCTTCATCTATGTTTAAATAGTAGAAATAATCTCTTTGAAAATTAGCATCCAAAATCTCATAATATTTCTAGAATATATTAATTGATTATTCAGTAATTCATAAAACTTGATTAATCGCATATAATCTTGGATACTTAAAATAAAACTCTGAAATGAATAAAAATAGAATAAGCTTCGATAAGTAGTTTATATGTTAAATCTATAAAATTCTCATTATAATGTGTCTGTATATAAGTATATAATGTTTATATGTAGAGGTATATCATTTATATATATATATATCTATATATTGTTGATTATCAATTATTGTGTAATTACATGTACGCTAGACGTTACATTTAAAAAATAAGAACACATTGGTGACTTCACGTGATTACATCAAATGACCATGACTGCAATTCTCTTAAAATAGGAAAGCGCAAATTGTACATTTGACTGTATTTAACCATTTCGTGATGGTTTCTTCTACGGTTGTATGAAAATTATTGAATTGAACTATAAGAAAGACCAAAATATTCCATATATTCTCCTATAGCTATAATAATTTTATTTTTATTATTCAATTATCACTTGTATCTATATTTGACGATAGAATGCAGGCATTTTTTAAATATTGTAAAAAATATTTCAGTTGATAGTTTTCTACTATTTTCAATGTGTCTTATTACATAAAGTACAAATTTGAATTAGATTCGTAAAAACTAATCGAGAAATAGTGTAGAATGTTAATTATATGATCCAAGTGTATTTGTTCCCAAGAAAACTCTTAGGGAGGTCGAGATGAAGGATTTTCCTTGTTAGAAATAACTGATGACATGGAAATAGCATTCACAATGATTACGCTACTATATATGATTGCGTCAAATTCTATTTCCTTCATTATTTTTCACACATGCTGATTCAAAAAGATTGTCTTTGAAAATTTGAGTGATTGCGGGTATATAAGAGACAAACTCATACATATTTGGGATAGACGAATCCAGGATTTCTAATGAGCAACATGGCTACCAAATTGGTATATCTTAAAGTTTTGATCTTTCATTAAAATATTCATTGTTACACGTATAAAGACTAATATATTTGTTATATTTGTAATTCAATTAGTAGTTCTGTCATCTAAATGATATTTTCTTATTTGTTTAATATTATTTTTTTCTTTTGAAAATCAAGTTTTGATTACTTAAAATCTTAGCATAAATTTTTTAATGAAACATTGTTTTTATGTTGACTGAATAATTTGGATAGAGGCAAAGAATTATCTAGTAATATTTCCAAAATAGATATTTGAATGTTATGAGTAAAGTTTGTTCATAAATTTTAATAATATTCACGGATTTTCAATTGAATTCTTCTTCATGGTTTTATCATTTTTTTCATTCTTGTCCTAACGATGTATTCGTAATAATTAAAAATATATGTTAATTATTTTTTTAAATGAAATGTATAATGGATGATAATTTTTGATATGCAATGTTTTGGTATGTAAGATAGTTACATGTTACCGCAACGGAAATTTTCTTTATCGATTTTTTTCGTCGTTTGTAACATAATTTGTCCGTCCAAATGTAATTTTATGATCGACAAATGAATTAGTTTCTTTCTTCATTACTACGTATTATATCGTATTAATTATTATGTGTATAATAACTACTATTAAAAAAATTAATTATCTTATCCACATTAGATATTTGTGATTCTGATCGTCGTAATTACACTGACGATGGACTTTGCAAGTGGTCATAGTATTCAACAAGGTGGCCATAGCAACGTAGGTTTTGGTAAAAGCAAACGTGGTCATGGAGGGTTCGGTGGAGGCAAACTTGGTCATGAAGGCGGAGGTTTCGGTGGAGGCAAATTTGGCCACGGAGGTGGAGGCAAAGGTGGCCACGGAGGTGGAGGCAAAGGTGGCCACGGAGGTGGAGGCAAAGGTAGAAGCAAAGGTGGCCATGGAGGAGGTAAAGGTGGAGGCAAAGGTGGAAACAAAGGTGGTCATGGAAGAGGAGGTAAAGGTGGTCACAGAGGTAGAGGAAGAGGTGGTCACTAAGATGTTTTTCTGAACACCTAAGTATAAAATATAATTATATTGATTTGTTTATTAATCATTAGCAGTTTCGCGAAAGTCAATGATGCGTGTAATCCAAATGAAATAAAATTGAAACCGTTTTTTAAGTTTATCAAATTTTTAAATAAAAGGAAGATTAACATTCATACAATTTTTAACTTGACTTCATAACGATTGAATTCGTAAAGCAACTATGTATAATTGTAATTAAAAAAGGAAACAATTAATGGTTGACCATCCACTTATATTCATGTCCTCTAATGAACTTTTACTTGTATAACTGTTATAATGCAATCGATGAGTGAACCGATCGGTTAGGAATAAAAAGACGAATTTGATAGAACTCAGATTATAATTGATAAAATAAACATTAGAATAAGATAAAATGTTCATTCTCTTAAACTTTATGAAAATTTACAAATGATGTGATACATAACAAAGATTGTAAAGAACATTGTAAAATCAGGTGCATATTTTTTTTCTCACTAGGACAAGCAATCAAATTAAAAGAGTTGTCCTCCGACAAAATAACCGGTACCTAAAAAAGTTATCGGGTTACGAAAATTGACAGACACTTGGAGAAAGGCTGCGAGATCTCGCATCCGCCGCATAGGCATCACTATACTCTATCGTTGTTCATATCGTTCTCACTGCGTTAGAAATAGTGAATTAGGACACAAGACCGGGATGAAAAATATCGAATATTAGTGCGTATTTCACACCCAAAATTCGTAATTAAAAAAGTCTTTTAATAACGAACCTCGGTTCAAGTTCAAAACGAAACTATATACGCGCTGGTTTCATAAATAAGATATTTCCGTACCAGTCAAGAAATGTGTGTGTGTGTGTGTGTATATATGCATACACACACACACACTTTTCTCTTTTCACTTAGAAATAAATTCCATAAATTCTTATTGCAATGAAATATCGTTCTTGTATCGATAAAATAATTACTTTTATGTTAATAAAATCGTCTTCGAAATAAACATAATATCAATAAAATTTCATACGTATAATTAATAAACAAACGAACTCCCCTATATATAAGGTTCAAATTAAATTACACGTAGTCTTCGCTTTCATATATTTTATATCTATGATAAATGTCCCCATAGCTCTGAATGGTTTGCTCATCAATATGAAAAGTTGAGTATAAGATTTTGTATCTTTGTTATTTACATATTTACGAAGTGTCTCGATGACGCATAATAGAGGTTTGTCTTTAAATTTAAAACAGGGTTGTAAAAAATGTTGAAAATTCCGTATTGTCGCTCTTGAAAAAGAAAACAAGCGGATGATAAATTAAGAAGGGACTCAAACAATCGGTGAAAAAGAGAGTAAGCGCACGAAGCAATAAAATCAGCGAAAATACCTACGAGCCATAGCGCACAAGAAGGTTGTGGAGCAATAAAAACTAG